ACCAGGGAGAAGGAGGTGACACCTGAAGGATGAAACCAGAGGCTGAGAAGTGTCTCAGGCTAAAGCTAAATGCAATACAGCTAGCACCCACGAGGCATGAACCACATCAAGGTCAAACCTTCCAACAACAAACACTGTTGTAGATCAGGACATCTCGGACTCCAGAGCGTGTGCGTCAATCACCCGGGGACCTTGTCGAAATGCAGATTCTGACTCGGCATGTGTCTGGGTGGGAGGGGCCCTGTGATTTTGCACGTGTTATAACTTTATACTGTTGCTTGTGTCTTGGCCTCTGGACCCTTCCTGGAGAATCAAATCTGTGTTCCCACATAAGTACTATGAGACGTTCTGCCTCAGGAAGTGTGGCTTGGATGGTCCCAGAGGGCTCAGCTCCAAATATCATCACGTTGGACAAGAGAATTTCCACATATGGATTTAACACAATTTAAAATACTTGGTTCACAGTGACTATACGTATTGATGAAATACAGTGTGAGGTTTCTTTTTTTTTTCCTTTGTACTCTTGGAAGCCTTGCATATATATATTCATGGTAGAATATTGTTCAGTCGCAAAGAAGAAAACAACTGGACATTGGCAACAAAGTGGACAGAACTGGAAGCTCATTATGACCAGTGAAATAAGTCAGACCCGGAAAGACAAATATTACATGTTCTTTCTTCTTTGTGGAAATTATGTAGAGTAAAAACTCCTGTGGGTGTCGTATAATTTACTCCATACTTTTAAATATCGCTCCATTGAATCCTACCATGTCTGTGATAACACATTTCTTTCTCCGTGTTATGATCAGTCATTAAACTCTCGTGTTTTGATTTACGCTCCCATTTCAATAAATTTTCACACATATATGTGTAGGTATACAATATTGACATTTAATGAATAACAAAGCATTCAAGAAGTCCACATGGACTTAGCATTAAAGTTATGCTTATTACATGATAATGTTTAGAAAAAAAATACATAGGATTTTTAAAAATGAAGGTAAAAATTAAAGATTTTTTGGTTGCTAAATAAGCTTATTTTAAATTATATTGACAAAGGAGATATGTATATGTATAATTATATGCTATTTAGAAATGTTCAACATCTGTATTATATATATATACATATACATAATAAATATATTTGAGTGAGAGAGAAAGGTCTTCCACCTGCTGATTCATTCCCCAAATGCTTGCAATAGCCAGGACTGAGCCAGCATGAAGCCAGGCAGTTGGAACTCCGTTTGGATCTTGCACATGGAATCACTGCCTCTCACTAGCAGGAAGCATAAACAGAAAGCAGAGTCAGCACTCAAACCCAGGCATGCCAACACAGCCTGTCTAGACCATTGCAATAAATGCCGGAATCTTGACAAAAGGCTCCATGTACAAAGGGAGAGCAGACGCTCTGTAGGAGACATGTGCAAATTGGCCAATAAGAGCTATAGGTAATGCAACCCTTTGCCCAGCTGAACCCATCAGCAAAGCCTCGAGGTCATTAGAGGAGCCACTCTGTGCCCTCATCCCTGCACACACTTGTCCCGGCACTGGCCTCCCACTGCTGTCACCGTGACAACAGGCTACCCATAAGCTTGCTCAGGGCTCCCTTCATGTCCCTGTTTCTCAGACTGTAGATGAAGGGGTTCAGCATGGGGGTGACCACTGTGTACAGAACCGAAGCAAACACCCCCACATGAGACGCTTGTGTCCAGGTGGAACTGAGGTAGACCCCCAGGCAGGTTCCATAAAACAAGGAAACGACCGAGAGGTGAGACCCACAGGTGGAGAACACCTTACGTTTCCCCCCTGTGGAGGAGATCCTCAGGACAGAAGCCACAATCTGGGAATAGGAGAAAAGAATGCCTGCCAGAGGGAAAAAGCCCATGACACCTGTGACAGCGTACAAGATGAGGGTGTTGACGAAGGTGTCGGAGCAGGCAAGTTTGAGGATTGCAGGGAGTTCACAGAAATAGTGTGGGATTTCCACAACGGTGCAGAAAGAAAGCTGCAGTGTGGACAGGCTCTCGGGGAGGGCCCCTAGTGCGCTGATGAGCCAGGCCAGCAGAAGCAGTTGGATGCAGAGCTGGGGGTTCATGATGTCCATGTAGCGCAGAGGGTGACAGATGGCCACAAACCGGTCATAAGCCATGACAGTTAGAAGTAAGTTGTCCAGGAGTCCAAAAACTGTGAAAAAGTACATCTGGGCTACGCAGCCAGCATAGCTGATGGCTCGGCTCTGCGTCTGGGTGTTCACCAGCATCTTGGGGATGGTGGTTGAAGTAAAGCAGATGTCAGACAAAGACAGATTGGAGAGGAAGAAGTACATGGGCGTGTGGAGGTGTGGGTCAGAGAGGATGGCCAGGATGATGAGCAGGTTCCCACTTACAGTAACCAGGTACAGAGTTAAAAACAGCCCAAAAAGGCAGGACTGAATCTCCGGTTGCTTGGACAGTCCCAGGAGGAGAAATTCAGGGCTTCTGGAGTGGTTTCCTGGTGCCATGTTAAAGGAATGCCTGCAAGACAAGGGGAAACAACCCAAGGGGATTGAGGAACTGTGATGCCTTTTCACTTGCACTGCTTAATCATACATTTTCCCAATGGACTCTTCTTCTCTTCCCACCCATATGGAATATTGGGATATGTTTGTCTTTTCCTGTGCTGCCAACTGGAGCTGGAACACCCAGACACAAAATTTAATTTGCTCCTCAAAGCCCATTTCACTCGTTCTGCTTTGCTGATACCTGCTGAGCCACACTTTGACATCTCAGATGAATGTGAATTACTTCGATGGTTTACATTTTAGAAAATATTTACATTTATAGGAAAGGCAGATCAGCTTCATGGAGAGAAGGGAAGATAGACAGAAAGATCTTCCATCCGCTGGCTTATTACCCACAGTGCTGCAACACCAGACCTCAGCCAGTCCAAAGCCAGTGTCCAGGATAATCTTGTAGGTCTTTCAGATGAGTGCAGAGTTCCAGGACTCTGGGCTATTCTCTGCTGCTTTCCCAAGCTACAAGCAAGGAGCTGGATCAGATGTGGGGCAGCCACATGGGGAGCTGTGGAGCCATCCCATGGGGCCCAAGGCTTTACTTTTAAATGCAGCAACATCATCAACAACATCACCAGTTGTAATAATATTAAAATTTTAAAAGTTGTTAAAATTAACAAGTCTAAGTGATTTCCATGAGAAGCATTCATGTTTTCTATGCCTTTGAATAGCTTTCTCTCTGAACTGAACAACTGAGAGCAGGTGTGTGGTTAAGGTGCCTGCAACCCACATCAGAGAAGCTGTGTTTGAAATCTGCTCCACCCTAACTCCTGACAGGCAATGGTGGCAGTTCACGCAGCCGGGCCCTTGTCATTCCCAGAGGAGTACTGAATGGAGTTCCTAGATCTCAGCTTTGGCCCCACCTGTGGGTCTCCTTATGGGCATTTGGGGAGTGAATCGAAAGATGGATCTCATCTATATTTCTGCCTTGGAATCAAATGAATAAAAATTCAAAAGCAGAAGAGACAGACCGCCAAGGCAGAAATTGCATCACTGGCCTCGTTTATTTCCCTTGAAAGACGAGACACCATATAACACAGACCTGGCGTGCGTAAGGTGCTGGAGAAACACCTACATCACCCGGGAGGAGGCGTGTTCCTGAGATGAAGGAGAGCCCTGTGGCAGTGCTGTTAGAATGAGCAGAGATGCAGAGGTACAGACCTGCTGCAGGCCGACCCAAAGCTCGCTTCTGGGCTGTGCACTAAGCTGTATAAAATCAGTCCTCAGGGCCTGAACCGTGGCATAGTGTGTAAGGCTGCTGCCTACAGTACTGGCATCCCCTGTGGGTACCGGTTCATGTCCTGGCTGCTCCACTTCCCATCCAGCTCCATAATAATGGCTGTGAAAGCAGCTGAGCATCCATGTGCGAGACCCAGAAGAAGCTCCAGGCTCCTGGCTTCAGCGTCTCTATGTGTCTCTCTTCATTTCTCTCAGTAACTTTGACTTTTAAGGAACGTGAATAAATCCTTTTTTAAAATACCTACAATGTCACGTTACACTTAAATAGCAGAATGACAGACTTGGGACTGCTGTATCATGAACAATAAAAATACGGAAAATAAGAGAAGTAGAAAATGGAAGAAGTTAACCAGAAACACCTTTCTGAGCTTTTTATCTCAGAACCAGATACCATGGAAACCCGGAGTTTTCATTTGTTTATGGAGAAACTCCTTGGAAGTGAAGTTTTTTTAAAAGTCACCATCTCCACCGTTAACGTGGGGTTTTTCCTTCCTTCCTCTTGCCAGTATGGCAGGAGGTCCAGGTCTCTTCTCTCTTGAAGCCCGTTCCCGTCACTAGGATGGGAGCTACTTTCCTCCTTTCTTCAAATAAATCTCACTTTTAAAACTGAAAATAAATAAATCAAATCAATCCTCATTTCCCTCCTCCAAGCTGTGTTTTCATTTTCTATGAACTTACTGGGCTCTTCTGGAGTCGCTCGCCAATGTGTGTGTGTGAGCCTCGGCATCGGGGGCACAGCAGCGGTGCAGGCAGCTACCACGTCCTCTCCTGGTGCCGGTGGACAGGGCCAGGCATGGGCTGGAGCACCGTGGGCATGTTCTGGGGATGGGCAAGGCAGAGCTCTCGCTTTGCTTGACTTGGTAAAGTGAGACTGAGGGCTCTAAGGCATGGTGATCGCTAAGCTCCGGGCCCTGAATTCTCACAGTATCTCATTAAGTGGCATCTTCTCTTTTTTAATCTGTAGGTAATATAACTGCTAGGAATTTGGGGACCATGAACACATGAACTCAGCTCACCCTGGTTCGTCCTCCCGAAGGCATCTCTGTTGTCAGGAGGATGTGTGCCCTCCCACTGGGGCCATTAAGAAACTGTTTCTTAGCACTGTACAAATGAGGCAGAGAAGGGATGGGCCTTGTGGTGTGCTGTGGGTGAGGCCGTCATTTGGGAAGCCTGTAGTCCATATTGGAGGGCCAGCGTGAACCCCATCAGATCCCTGCTGATACATCTGGGAGAGCAGCAGAGGATGGCAGGTACCCATGTGGGAGCTCTAGATGGAGTTCCTGGACCCCGACTTCGATCTGGGTGTGCCTTGGCTTTGAGACCACTTGGGGTGCAAGCAAGTGGTTGATAGATCTCTCTCTCAAATAAATGCGTACATTTTTAATAAGTGAGACTGATAAAGACATGATATAATGATACAGATATCAGTTCAGGAAAAGAGAACGCCATTTCAAATCTGCAAGTATGATTCTAAAATTCAATCAATTCCTAGATGTAGGAGTGGGGTTACAGCCCTGCCATTCAGATACCCGCATGTCACCTTGGAGTTGGAGTCCTCACTCTTGCTCACCCCTGCAGATTCCCTCCTGTGAGCTCTGGGAGGCCAGGACTCTTGACTTGGTGCTAATCGAATGGGACACCAAGCGTATGTTCTGGACTCCTGGCTCCGGCCTTGGCCCAATTGTGGTTACTGGCAGCACTTGGGGTATGCACCCCCCATGGGGAGCTGAAGTCTGCGTGACTAGTTTCTGTCTCTATGCCCCTCTAATAAGTTAGAACCAAAACAAATCTTTGTAAAAGGATTTAAAGGACTTCAGTTTTCACTAAAATTGAAACCAAGTTTAGGCTTTAACATTATTCATTTTCATAAACTTCTTGAAGGCCCCTTATGTATGCACCTAACAGGGAGGAATCCAGAGACAGAAATGTAATATTGAATCGTAGGAAAGGAGAGGCAGATGCCACACAATGGTAGTCGGGACTTTAACATACTACTTTTACTATTACACATTTCATCCAGAATATTAGCAAGCAAACTTTAGAACAAACGGAGCTATCAGAAATACCCAGAATATTACACCCAACAGCCACAGAATAATTTTCTTCTCCAGCTCGCATGGAACACTCTTAGGGAGATAATATCCACAATGCAGGATGTAGTGAATTTAAGAATATAGAAAGCCGGCTCAGTGAGTAAATCCTCACTTGCAGCAACTGGGATCTCATATGGGCAGTGGTTCCTGTCCCAGCTGCTCCACTTCCCGGCCAGGTCCCTGCTTGTGGTCTGGCAAAGCACGACAGGATGGCCCAAAGCCTTGGGACCCTGACCCCACATGGGAGACCCAGAAGAAGCTCCTGGATCCTGGCTTCAGACCGGCTCAGCTCCAGGTGTTGCAGTCACTTGCAGAGTGAACCTATAGGTGGAAGCTCTCTCTGTCTCTCCTTCTCTCTGTAAACCCACTTTCCCAATATATATGAATAAATCTTAAAATATAATAATCTAAAAAGTATATTGTTTGTGACCATAATGGCATGAAACTAGAAACCAATAATGACAGGCATTTGAGAAACCCGTAAATACTTGAAAATTAGCCTGAACCTGAACAACCAGTGGATGAATGAAGAAACTGAAGTAGGAATTTGATAATAGCTTGAGAGGAATGAAAATGGAATTATGATGTAAACAGATAAAGGGGTACAACAAAAGCAACTCTTATTTTAAAGACAGTTGTTTTAATTTGAAAGGCAGGTTTTACAGATAGAAGAAGAAATACACAGAGAGAAGGTCTTCCATCTGCTGGTTTACTCTCTACTTGGAACCAACAGCCAGAGATGAGCTGATCTGAAACTGGAAGCCTGGATCCTCCTCCAGGTTTCCCTCCTGGGTACTGGGTCCCAAGGACTTGGGCCGTTCCCTGCTGCTTTCCCGGACCACCAGCAGAGAGCTGGTTCAGTAACGGAGATCTGGGGCATGAACCAGCGACAGGGTAGAGAATCAGCGTGATGCAACACTGCGCTGGCCACAGAAAAGCAGTTCTTAGAGGAAAGTTTATAGCAATGGATGATGATTGTGAATCAAGGAGAGTAAATGAAAAAGAAACTAGAAAGACAACCTAAGAGATCAACAAAATAGGATGGTTTTCTAAGTTGAATTTTATTTATTTGGATGTTGGAGAGAGAGAGAGACCTAATCCATCCGTTGGTTCCCTCTCCCAGATGACCACAAAGACTAGCATTGGGCTCTACCGAAGTCAGGAGCCAGCAGCTTTATCCAGGCCTCCTCCTTGCGTGGCACAGGTTCAACATTTAACACTATCCTCTGCGGCTCTCCCCAGGCCATTATTAGGGAGCTAGATAAGAAGAAGCTTGGCCTGGACCAGAACTGGTGCCCACATGGGATGCCATTATCACAAGTGATGACTTTATCTGCCGTACCCCAATGATGCCCACTCAAAAATATGTCCTTAATTACCAAATGTTCTACTCTTACAAAACCAACAGGTCTTAATTTGTGTTATCAATGTGACATGTTCAGTGTTTGGGCACACACAGAACTCAGCCAAGAAACGTAGTTGATCTCTCTTTTGAAAAGAGGATTTATAATTTTGGAAAGATATCAAGGACTACACCTGAGCATTTTGGAAACCCAAGAATCCTAGCTAAAGCAGATTCCTCAGTCTGAAACTTTGGACAATGTTATAACTTGGTGC